GCCAACAGTCGTGTTTCCAAACGGCGACAAAATGGCTAAGGGAATAATCACTGAATGGAGGTGGATCAGCGTGGACCCATTTTTTATGACCGGGTCAATTAGTGTGAATGTTATGTCGTTGTTTTTTTTAACTTTCATTCAAAAAGTTGTACTTCCAAATCGAAAATCATTCGCAAGACAAATCCGTGTTGGCAAATTTTACGGTATGTTATTGAAAGCGTTATAAACAAGACGCATACTTTGTTTTTCAGAAATAAATTTTCAACAACAGTTAACACCGGTTCGAGTTTCCATCACTTCGTGCAGGAAAAACGGTCCAAGATTTTGCATTGCTACCGAGTATTGCCAAGAAGGTGAAAAAATGCCGGTAAGATTTACGACAGTTTTTTAAGTAAACTATAAACTATGGCTCAGGAAGAAAATGATTGTATTTATTGCTTGAGCTCGTTTCATAGACTTGACTACGCTTAAATGAGTATCTTAAGTTGAACCCTTGTACTGTCATCAGACATAAAAAATGAGCAAAATGGCACAGGGAAACACAAATCTCCAGATTGAGAAGTCACAGCTGCGATGATTTGCGCATGTGTTGCGAATGACTCCAGACAGGAAAGCGAAAAAACTATTTCTTGCCAAACCGGCCGGCACAAGTCCCAGTGGATGGGCAAAATTAACCTGGTGCAAACATATGAAAGGAGTCTGTTCCAGACTCCAATCGCCTTCTGCCAGTGCTCAGACTCTGGCAGAGGATCGGGAACGTTGGAAGCATTGTCTGACGCGTCTGCCTCCGCGACCCGAAAGGAGAAGCGGCGACGGAAGATGAAAAAGATGAAAAAGAAATCTGCTAAGAGCAGTTCATTTCACTAGTTATGGTTGGACGAAGTAATCGAGCCTTTAATAACTACTCAAGGGCCTAAAGACGACGACTTAACTGTTGTGTGAGCGCTTCCAAAAGATTGATACATTGACATTGAGAAGAAAGCGATTTTTGGAAATTTAACGGCAAGAGATCGAAACTTGTATCCTTCAATTGGACTTAGTAAAACTATGACATAACAACACAATAAGCAGATAAAAGCCCGCAGGAACACAGTTGTATCAAAATGATGACTACTACAAATTTAATTTTCTAGTAATAAAGGTATACCAACAACATAATTAACAATAGCATCTGTGCCGGTTTACGAGATAAAATCTAATTAATAAAAGAATGAAAATCCACCGAGAGTAATGTCGTATCCAGCAAGAAAAGCAAATGCAATATTGCATATGGTAAAACCCTGTGGTTGGAAAGTCTCTCGATTTAGCAGTACATCTGTGCCACTGATTCATACTGAACGGACATCAGTAGACAAGTTTATTGTCACATCCAGATGGGCAACCGCTTAAAATTATTTTTCGTGCTTGCATACAGTCTTAAAGCTCTTTGCGCTGCAGGTGTTATTGCCATAAATGTATCCTTGCTTGAAAAACGTTACTGATTGTTAGCGAGTCACTTATGTATTTGAAATGGAATCAGTAACGGAGGTCTGCCACCTGCATGAATGGTGCTGGTGAAATACGTAGGATTTATCTTCATGAACTGGCGGAGACCAGTGCAGGCGTTGAAAGGCTTTGACTTAAAACGCCAATAACTCCGAATCAGCACCTGTTGTCAATATTATATGATTGGATGGCTCGTAGCAACTGACCATCTGTCCCCTCCCCATCCTAATCATGTACATAGTCTGCTGCGTGGGATCTGGTCCTAGGCTTTCTCAAAAATAATGAAATCGCGTATAAATCGGATGAGCGCTCTTTCATCATTTCTCCACAATCTAGCGCAAGGCGAAGATCTGGTGAGAGGTGCTTCAATTTGACCTGGAACCACGCTGCTCTTCTTGGACCTTACAGTTAACTATTCGGCGGTACCTCATTTACAACATATTTGTGTAGACTTCGTCCGGTAGGAAAAACAAGTCATGCTCTAATAACTGCAGCAGTCCATATGATCTTCCTTCCTGGACACGATGGTAACACCCTATTTCTCCAGTCCACCGGTGTTTTCCCCGTAGTCATGGCAATTTGACAGACATCTGTTAGATACAACCTACAGCTTTAAGTATCTCGTAGCAAATTTGATCGATTCCAGCAGCCTTGCTATTTCCCAGGCCTTATACAGTTTCTGTGACTTCGCCTAGTAAACGACAAATATCCGTGCCTGCAGCTGTTCAAGTCAGTTTTCCTGCTCTTGTTCTGGAATAAAGAGTTCTTCAAAGTACTCTCGCCACTGCTGATGCGCATGCTCATCTTCGTTTTTGAAACAGTCAGCTTTTCCTTCAGGATTCTGAGACTGCCCCTTTTTCCATATTGGAGGCAGCGAATGGTCTGCTAGAATATCTCCCTTTACATCTGGAAATGCGCCCCCCGCACATCACTTGATTTTTTCCAGGAATCTGCTTTCGGACCACATTCGAACTAAGGGTTCTTTGCTTCAAAGCTACCTGTTTAATGCAGCCTTCTTCTGGCCTTATACCCAGTTGATGGTCCGTGATCCACCAGGAAGTTCGTTTCTGAACTTCGGGCAGTAGGCCAACCCGTCTGAAACCGCAGCATTTTGCAAAAGCCCGTTGTTCAGAACTTTAATTTAATTTTCACTTCAGCCATCATCTCTGGGATCTGTTCAAATCGTTTGCATTGCGTTCTTCTTGCCAGTTTCGCCGTAATATTGGCAGAAGGAAGATGTTTATTCTTTGACTCTCTGATTGCTTCTGCCGCCAGGTTTTCGCATAGCGCTCCTTTGCTCGTAGCGGAGGAGGGTCAACA